TATTGCAGTCTACCATTTGACACATCACACAAAGGTATCCCAATAATGCAACACTTTTCAATACTTCCTACACATTACACAGAATACTATTCATCCACCAGGGGCACTTACTGACAGAACAGTATAAAGAAACCCACAAAGCCCCACAGTTACCAAAAGCAATGTCCCAAGTAAAAGTCCACTAGCATTATTTTCTGAACCCAGTTCCAGTCAGTTACCCGGTGTGGCTCCTTCCATCATTCCACAGGAAAAAAAATGGAAACCCTGTGTAGTCCTTTGGTGGCAGTTAGGCAACTTCTCCATTCCTGGGATTCCCTAACAACATGGTTATCTCATGCTCCCTCCTTACCTTGACTTCTCTTAGTCTTACATCAGGTAGGGGGAGGAAGATGATGCCAGAGCCTTCTTCACCAGAGATACCAGAGTCCCTAGTGTCAGCGTCCTCTCCTGGGTCTAACTGCTGTGATTTGTCCCAGAAAACTTCCTTTTTCCAAAGCTGTGCTTTCTTTTCTGACTGAGGCTTTTTATACCTTCTTAGCAAAATGCTCTTGACTCTTCTGCTGCAATGTTGCCTGCTGCAATGTGTGGTTATTGTCTTATATCTGTGTTAAGAGGTTCTTTGATCAGGGCAGGAACTCAAAGAAAAGGGCAAGAAACTGAATCATTTCACTGGCGCATCACTGCAGTCAAAATCCATACAATCCCAGACACCCCGCGCCCAAAAGCCATTCTTTCCAATCTGTGACATCTAAACTCAGACCCCAGCTGGAAGTCACCTGTCAAAAGTGAGAGAATAATCCACCAAAAAAGAACAAGCTATGAGGGGATAACCACAACACCTGATGATGTCAAAATCAGTCACCACCCATACTGATATTTAAATAAACAACTGTACATGCTATTTTAACAAATCTTTATAGAAAACACGTAATGCTTGATATGTTTGTGATTCCTATGTTTTTATCTTTTTAAAGAATATGATTTATATGAATTTGCATTAGTGACATCCTTTTTCAGTAAAATAGTTGGTGTCTCTTTAAAAAAAGGAAAATCACGCCTTATTATGTCACTTCCTTGAGGAATGTGTCTTCCTTGCTATAGGTCAGCTGTTCAGACTGGTTTTGAAGTAGTGTGTTTGTAAATAGATGTGTTGTGCATGAATGTCGCTTTTCTAAATTCGACCGTTATTATGGGGAGAAATGAGGACAGTGAGATTATTGAGCATCATGTTAACGAGGACATGGAGAAAAAAAGCACACGGACGACAGATCCTAGTTCATTCCTGCAAAGTGTCACCTTATCTGAGAAAGACGGACACAGCAGCACACAGTCATCTCACCGTCTTCTTGCGTTCAGTGATTCTCTAATTTCCATAATAGCAACTGTTATGGTAAGAGTAATGTTAAATATCGACAATCGTTTTATGGGGCAGGTCATTTAATTTAGTAATTTACGTGACGGTGCTAAATTTGTATTTCCAGGATGAGTGGAAAGGACTGCAAATAAATCATACGTGGTTTTAAAGGAAGGATTTAGAGTGAGGTGCGCAATATATAGTTTTTATATTTGTATTACTCATACTAACAGGTAAGTGCTAGAAACTTAAAGGGCTAACGTCAGAAGACAGCACTTAAACTCGCATTGAGATCTGCGCTCTGTGCTTGTTCCGTTTTCATCGGCTCAGAACCTGCAACACCGGATCGCTCAAGAACTCCTTACACTGCTGTAGCGTGTGGCTGTGTGTATGCTCCCCTTCTTTTTGCTATCAGTAGCGTTGTATTAATAAATACAGTAAAGATGCAGTCTTTCTTTAATGCATGATAAAATAAATAATCTGCTCGAAAAGCCAGTGTATCCACTCCTTAAGAATATAATGCAGAAAAAACGTCAATCTCTCTTACTAGAGTAACATTTGGAAGAATTTGTAAATTTAAACCTTTTGGGGTTTTTTTTTTCAGATATTGCCTATTGCACACACAAAAATACAGCAAGATCAGGTAATGTATTAAGTCCTTTTATTTTTATGGTTTTAAAAACACAGCCCTACCTGTGGTCTCCACTACAACATCCAATAAAATAATACATTTCAAATATGTTTGGTAATTAAATATAACAAATTCATATATACCAGCATTACTGATATTAGCCATGTCAGGTATTATCAAAATAACAATCATTCATTTTTATATTTTTCTTTTGTTAAGGAAATATAACATAACAATATTTGTGTGTTTGGTTCTAAGTAAAATTCTGGTGTATTACATTTTTGTTACAAACCATCTAAGAATGTGAACAGCTAGACTGAAATCTGATTTATAAAGCTAACTCAAAGGGCTGTCATGTAACTACAGTTGAATTGCTCTTGGAGTTTTAAGAGATTAGATCACATTGGATTTCAGATCTTCCTGCTTGAAATGCACACAGTTTTGCTGAACTGAAATGATGCAAAAACAGTTATTATTTTTGCGCTGGTCTTCCTATATGCTACAGTGTGGGTTTGCATATCCAGCTGAGGAAATGGGCACCTACCCTTTGTCAAGAACACTGGCAATAATGACAAGTACATGGAGATCATAGTGTAGGGGTTTTGTGGGACAATTTATCAATTGATGCAGTAATCACGAGGTGATTCATTATGGCTATTAGAAAACCAATTGATCAGCAATACACACACATGGATTCAATAAATGAGATACATTTAAAATGTGCATATAAAACATATAGCAGTCTGTCTGGATTCAGATGGCAGATCTTACTGTGAAGGTTATCAAAGTGCAAGGTATATAATCATGAAGAGATGCAAAACACAAAGAGATACAAAGAATATACTTCAGTATACCGTTCGACTATATTATCTTTAATCAGTCTACATTAGCTACTCAAAAGTAAATACACTACTCATAGGAATTGAATTGAAATCAACTTGTGTTGAGGTAACAATTGAATTCTCAAAATGCAATGTAGAACATAGGGTTTACTTATCCAGATATGGATTCGTATTTCCCGGTACAGACACCAAAGGCCAACTAGCGGCTGTGTCCAATCACTGCATTGTTCAATAGACATCGTCCCGACGTCCTCTGGCTCCTGGCCAACCAGTCAGGGTGCAGCTCGAAGTCAGACGAATTAGGAGGAGAGATTTCTGTTGTGGCGATGCGCCCGACAGTGTTTCCCTCAGGGACCTACTAGTAGTCCAGCTGACTAGTAGAAAGTCTCTATGCACAGAGGGTGACCGCGGGTCAGAGCAAGTCACTCTTTAGGGGGAAAAAACTTGGTTTTCTTCCAGTGTAGTGCTGCTGAATAAAACTTATTCAGGTTGTTGACAAGAGTCCAAACGTATACTCCAGTGATCAAGCGAAGCGTCCACGTTGGTATTGGCTAGTCATTTGAGTTTGGGCAATCCCCAGGGCGACACTTTGCTGAAACAAGGTTATAGTCCCTATTCAGACAACACTGGCTGTCACATGTCTCTGAGGGTGTGAAAATTGACCGGAACAGCAAAGTTTCTGAGCTGTGCAGTTTACAGTGTGTTTTAAACCAAAACCAAGACAGGCAATGATTGGTCGAAAGTTAAGCAGACATTTCAGACCCACGTGAGGTTACCACACCCTGCAGGTTCCTGATTGGTTGGTCAAGGTGAGAGATGAGTAAAAATGACTTCTGACATCTAGGACCCCAACCCAGATGTTCCCAAGAATCTCAGACAGATAGGTCCCAGCAATGGCCATTGACCATGATAGCCAAGCATGGCTGGGCGCATCACCATTTGGGAACTGCTCCTTATCTGACACAAAACACCTTAAATCGGAACTGCATGAATAGCTTCTCTGTGGTGCGAGAAAGAGAGATGGGGCCTCATTTAGGAAAGCACACAACACTTAATTCTGACTTATTAATAGGTTTTGCCGCTACAATAGACAGAAAGTAAAGCTGTCAATTAGAGAACTTCATAGCTCCTGCTCCTCTGTACTTCTCACTTTTACTTCTAGGTACAGGCAAAATAATCTTTAAAATTCACAGGTGTTCTTTAAATTTGAACAGTACTAGCACTGTGAATTGGTAATGTATAAATTATCCTCTGTGTTAAAGATATTGAAAAAAATATATTTTTCCTAAAATAGTTGTTTTTGAAATGATGATAAGCCAGCTTTCTAGTGCATCAGGGTGCGGCTCTAGTACTTTTAGTGAATTTAGAACTATAGCTTTCTAAATTCTGGTCATTTCTGTGGCATGAAATTGCATTGAAATGTTCCCCACTTTGTCTGTTTTACTCAGACAAAAGGGCTTTGGAATACAGATAGAGGAGTGGGTTCAAATCCCAGGTTGGACACTGCTGTTGTACCATTGATCAAGGTACACTCAAATTGCTCCAGTCAATGTCCTGCAGTGCAAACAGGTCTTTAGGTCATCCTTCTAAGTCAGTTGATTTGTGTGGTCAAATAATCGAACATAAAACGTGTCCAAAACCTAACGCAACCGAATGGAGAATTATTACATTCAAGCTGTTGTGCAGCAATCATTTCATACAAATTTATTATGTGAAAGGAGTTATATATGAACACTAGCATACAACTGAAGGAATTTGTTTTCTTTATAAAGTCAACATAAACAAAACTTGTCATTTTACATTTGAATTTTGTTCAAAAGTTTTTCTTTGTTGATGTTAAGATAATTCTGAAAAGATAAGATAATATACAGTATAACCAACTGCATATAAAAATAGTATTGCTGTTCTTAAGTTAGAATGCAGAACTTGTTTTAATAAACATTTTAATAAAAGTCAGTGCAATACTTTTCATTAGAGACAAGTTTATCTATATTGGACTCAATCCCCCAGTCTAATTCAGGCTTGAAATTGAATCGTTAAGGTGAATGTTTTTTTCACATGAATTTTATCAGCTCTATAGATTAAGGAATTATTTAGTTTTTCAGGATGGAGAAAAGGCCTCATCTTTAGTTTTCCATATTACAATGTACAAAACCTAACCTATGTGGTCTTTTAAATTACCAAATTTTAAGGTTTATTTTTGATTATTTGTATTTTGGCATCCCAGTTTCATGGTATCAATTGGAGTGAAGTTAAATAGCTCCTTGTGGGTTTAATGTTTTCTTGTGTATCTATAAGACAAAGCAAATTACAACATGGCTCAGTTATCTGGCATCACTATACAGAGATGTGGCAATCGATGAACAACTGTATTAAACTAAAACAGAAGAGTTTTTTTTACAGTTGCTTCTCCTTCACAATGTTGATCTTTTAATTGATAGCCACCAGTTTGTTTCTGCACATGGTATGCATAACATTGCAGATACTGTATATCAGATGGCAGGGATACAGACATTCCAAAACTTAAAGGAGCAAGTTCAAGAGCTGTATGACATTCCAGGTTCTTCATTTTTTCTTTATCTACAGCTGAAAGCTACTATGAGTATTTACAGGGTTCCTTGGGGAACAGCATTTATTTGATACCTGCTATATAAGATATTGTACTGATACAATTCATCTGGTGTTATTTCTTAAGCATTTCTGTTACAGCATTTTGAAAACTCAAGTTCCTTTATGTCAGTATGGTTAAGAGATCTATTACTTGATGAGAATTATATGTCATGGGATAGTAGAATGTATTTAACTACACATAAATGATTTAACATATCTGTCTGATGCCCTGCATTGCACATTGTAAATTGTACATTACACATTGTCAGGGTTTAGTGGGAACCATTTCTCACCAGGTTTGGGAATATACAGAGGTCCACATTTTGAAAGAAAATCTTTTCTTCTTTATCAGAGATACTAGAATAATTCATGCTTGAAATTGTCTGTTTTTAAAAAAATCTAATTCTACGGATACCAAGAACTTATAGCACATCGCTTGCTGACCTTTGGTGATTTTCCTTGGCATCAAGAGGCTTTTTGTTCTGGACATTTAATTCTGGAACTTTCCACTGGCTGTATCCATGGTACTAGCATACAGACGATTACATCATGGGTGTCAGAAATTGTCTTAGTCATCATCATAATCACATCACTTTCAAAATAGGCTTATCCAATTCAGGATCATAGTGGCCCACATCCTATTCTGGGAAGCCTTGTGTGCAAGGTGGGATACTCCCAATTTGGGATGCCAGTCCATCACATGGCACACACAGATACCAGCATGCACACACTCGCTTCAGGCCAAGTTACAGAAGCCAGATAACCTACCCATATGTTTTTGGACTGTGAGATATAAACGGAACATCCACAGGAAACCCACACAAACCCAGAGAGAGCATACAAACTCCACACTGATAGCACCCCAGGAATTGAACTTAGGTCTCCAGCACTCTGAGTCAGCAAAGCTAACTACTGCACCATCATGCTGCCCTGCAATTGTCTTAGTGTTTTAGTTAAATCATTATTTTAGTTTATATATATATTTAGATATTTTTTATCTCTATATTAGTTGCATCCATAGGATTTTTTCTCTTTAGAAATAGGTTGCCATTGACATGGAGATTTAAGGTTTTTAATTACTATTTTGATTTTATTATTTTGTTTACAACATAAATACAAATATTTAAAAAAAAACATTTTATTACTAAACTTAGGGATTTGCATTTTTAAAAACTTGGAAAAGATGTAAAAAGATTGTTTTCCTCAGGTTTTTACAGTGGCAATTTGCTGTGATTGAAGGTACAAGGTATTCTTTTAAATTAACCAACCAATCAATTAACCATTTAAATAGGATCTTAACAAAGGTTATTATTTAACATAGATTTCCATGTGCTCTGGATCTAACTGTATATCTGCTATTCGTAATCCAGGGATTTAAAATATCCTAGACATGATTCCCTAGACAATAAATTATTTGGGTTAGGTAGAATGTGCATAATGCTTATCTGGATTTTTAAAACTACCATCAGATATCAGACAAAAAATCTAATTTCTCTTTACCACCAAACCTACTGTAGCATGTAGAAATATTTGCTCCAAAAATATTGTGACTACAGGGATATAACTTTAGCCAGCAGGTAAGAATCTATGTTCCATTTTAAGTATCTAACAGAGAAAAGGCATGTTTTGTTCCATCCTTTGCTGTTACCTTTATTCCATTTGTCAAAGAAAAATCATAAAGCAAATGTACATTACTTTATTTAATTCTTTTTGTGTTTAAGTAATTCATAAATTCATTTGTGTTTCTATGCATTAGGAATTGCAGAAAAGTTTGCAGCAGCTTCTTGCAACAAAAATTTCAGTTTACCTGGTAACATTTCTAATAGTCACTGTGGCTTGGGCAGCTCATATCAGGTAAGATATATTCAATTTACACAACCTTGCAGTTCCAAATTACAACCTGCTTCTGTTACTGCAGTTTTAATAAATTCTGTATGTACATATTTATATATCTGTACTTTCAGTTAGTATTTTTCTAAAATAATTCCTCCAAATACATTTGTCTGCCATATACACACATTATTATAAGATATAAGATTATATAATATATATATATAAGGCCATATACAATTTCTTGTATTAGGAATTTGTCTTTTTCGCATACCATGACTTGATCTCCATGAGACACACAGACAGGGAGAGAAGCTTGGGGTTAGAGCGCAGGGTCAGCCGTTTATACAGCACCCCTGGAGCAGTTAGGGTTAAGGGCCTTGCTCAGGGGCCCAACAGAGTAGGATTCCTTTGCCAGCTGTGGAATACGAACCGGTAACCTTCCAGCCACAGGCGCAGATCCTTAGCCACAGAGCCACCGCACTGCCCATGGCCGTGCACACTGTCTTTGTATACCGTCTTGTGTACAGAATTTGTATACTGTATATGTTGGTAACAATGTAAAGCATCAGCCTGCAATTGCTTTTAGTTACAGCCCCCCTTTCCTATTAGCAAACCCAGTTAGTATGTGAATATTTTTAAATTAGAGACAGTATCATTGTAAATTGAGGCATGCAGCAGCCATAGAACAGCGATGATATTTGATATTTATGGTAGATCTTAATTGTGTAAAATAAAAGATAAATATACCAGACATCTCTCACTACTGTATTATTTTTTTAAATGTAATTAAAGTTAGCAAGATTAAATTCTCAAGGTACTTTAATCCACCCTGTTCATATAAAGTACTTTAATTCAGTGAATAATATCACATACTCCACCCCCTCAACATACACCAACCCCCCTTGACACTCCACAGTCGAGGTCAGTGTCCGCCTAGAATACCTACAGGTATTTATAAAATAATTAAAATAACCTTCTATTATAATAACCTGTATTTGTACTGTACAGAGACAGAGATATGACATCTGTCTTTCCCAAATCAATTGGTGATACTATAATTATCATATTTTGCATTGTTTTATGTAGCCATTAATATTTGTAGGAAAAGGTCCAAAAATCCAGCCTAAATATTTGTTACTGATAGTTATTTTTGGCGAAGAATGGTAGGTGCTGTAAATTATAACACTTACTTTATTCACTTATATAGTTTAGTAATCGTTTTAATTATTATTTAATTTAATAATACAATCCTGGACACTCCACTCAAAGTGCTTTGCAGGTAATGGGGACTCCCCTCCACCACCACCAATGTGCAGCATCCACCAGGTTGATGCGACAGCAGCCATAGTGCGCCAAAACACTCACCACACATCAGCTATCAGTGGGGAGGAGAGCAGAGTAATGAAGCCAATTCATAGATGGGGATTATTAGGAGTCCATGATTGGTAAAGGCCAATGGGAAATTTGGCCAGGATGCCAGGGTTACACCACTACTCTTTTCGAGATACACCCTGGGATTTTTAATGACCACAGAGAGTCAGGACCTTGGTTTTATGTCTCATCTGAAGGACAACGCCTTTTTACAGTATTGTGACCCCATCACTATACTGGGGCATTAGGACCCACATAGAGCGCAGAGTGAGCACCCTCTGCTGGCCCCACTAACACCTGTTCCAGCAGTAACCTTAGTGGTTCCCAGGAGGTCTCCCATCCAGGTACTGACCAGGTTCACACCTTAGCTTCAGTTGGTTGCAAGTTGTGAGTTGCAGGGTTATATGGCTGCTGGATATGTACAGTCAACAAAGATAAATATAGTCCCTTAAAAGTGTCTTTGTTACGCTGGCCTTTATTGGTGTGTTGTGTCACATCCAGTTTTACACTACAGGTCTTTCTTTCCTTTTTTAGCTTAGATATTTATTTCATCACTTTCTTTAAGATTTTCATTTCTTTTCTTTGGGAGCTTTGTTCACAAAAAAAGCACTGATGAAAGTACTGTAAAACATGGGAACTGAGGTGTGTAAGGTAGCGAAGGTCTTGGTTGTAGCCTTGCTCGTAATTTTGCAATTGTGTGCTGTAGAAAAAATAAGTACACCTCCTTGCTTCAATAGCTGGTGTTGCCCCCTTCGGCAGAAACCACTTCTTTTAATTGTCTATCAGTCGCCTACATCGACATGGAGAAATTTCTGCCCACTCCTCCTTACAGAACTCCTTCAACTGTATGATGTTTTAGGGCTTTCTTGCATGTACTGCCTGCTTCAAGTCCCCTCACAGCATTTCTGTGTGGTTAAGATCTGGGCTTTTACTTGACCATTCCATAACCCTCCATTTCTTCTTTTTGAGCCATCTTTTGTGGATTTGCTTGAGTGTTTTGGGTCATTCTCTTATTGCAAGGTCCACTTACGGTTCAGCTTCAGCTTTTTGACAGATGGGGTCACATTCTCCTCAAGTAGTCTCTGGTACATTTTATCTCTATAAAATGTGGAATTCATGGATGACTCTATAGTGGCACACTGGCCTGGCCCTGAGGCAGAAAAGCAGCCCTAAACCAAAATGCTTCCACCACCATGCTTTACAGTTGGTATGAGGTTATTCTGGTCAAAGGCATTTTCTGGTTTTCACCAAACATGACATCTGGCATTGTGGCCAAACAGCTCTACCTTTGTCTCATCTGTCCAGAGCTCATTGTTCCAATAGTCCTGATCTTCACCTAGATGTTGTCTGGCAAACTTCAGTCATGCATCTGTATCTTTTTTGAGAGCAGAGGCTTCTTCCTTCCTGACCTCACATGTAGGGCAAAGTTGTTCAGTCTCTTTCGGGTGATTAACTCATGCGCTTTGACACTGACTGAGGCAAGACTTGCCTGTAAATCCCTTGATGTCATCCTGGGGTTCTTGGAAACTTCCTGCAGCATCTTTTGGTCAGCTCTTAGGTTGAATTTGTTGGGTTGACCGGGCCTGGATAGATTGCCAGTGGTTTGAAATTTTCTCCATTTGTAGATGATCTTTTGGATAATTGAGTGATTGTCTACAAATTGCTTTTGATCCAATGACATTTGATGCAGTGATAAAGGTAGGGAGGGATGTACTAACTTTTTCCGCACAAGGAAATTGCATTTCTGTTGATTTAAATAGTACACATGAGTGCAAAATGTAATTATTCAATGTTATTGTTTAAAATTAGATCACCTTTATCTATCAGTAGTGTTGAAATGACAATCAAATATCCTTTTGTCCGGAAGTGAAAAAAACGACAAACCTTGCATGGGGTGTACTTACTTTTTCACACTACTGTGTATTTGTGAGTAGTTATGTCGATCCACAGGCTTATAGAAAAATATATTTAACCACTTCTGTGGTGAGCCTAAACAGTGACTATAAAATAATTAATTTAAATTAACCTCTGCATTTAATATCCTATCATGTAGGCCTACACCTTTTTAGAATTTTAAATACTATATACTCCTTTTTATGTTTTTCTAAATGCATCTGTTTTCAGGTTGTTCCAAGTAATAGAACGTATAGATGATGTCCTGGCCCTACTAAACCTGGTAAGATTACTGCATAATTATTCTGCTATTTTACATTAATGATGAAAAAAGGACAGACAGAACTGTTTAAAACCATGGAATATGGTATTTTGTAGCTATTTAAGGAGAGCGTAATAGAAGAACCTCATTAAATCTGTGTGGATGATAGGCTTAAGTGTTTACATTTTAATTAAAAAATAAGGATTTCTAACTTTGTGAAAAAGGTTTATTTACCCTGTGTACTGTAATAAAAAAATATCCTTCAAATAAAGAAATATGACTGAATAAGAAAATTCCAAGAATTACAGTAAACAGCCCTCTGTTGCAACTTGGTTTAAAATCATTGCTCCTATAGCTTTCTAAACAGATTGTATTATTTATTAATAATTAATAAAATGCAGAATCAGGAGGAAATGACACTGTTAAATTCTCATGGTAAGTGGGCTTAGTACTGCATGGGCCCACTGGTTAAATTCAATCAACTCATCAACAGTAACAATAAGCATAAGAGAGAGGGGATCTAAAACATAGCATATATCCCAGGTTCAATGTTCATTTTTAATCTTGTACTACAATGTAAGAAATGATATTGTTTAAGAATACAAGCGAAAATTCAAATTAAGAAGTTTGAAGTTAAACTGAAATGAAACCAGGAACTGTAGAATGCATGTACTGTATAATGAAAACCAAATTTTCAGCTCCTTAGTCCTCAAACTTTATATTTTGTTCTTTTTTCCTTAGGCATGCATGATGTTAATTACCTTCCTTCCTTACACTGTAAGTATGATGGCAGAATGCACCACGATTGTGTCAGTCAAAATATATTTTCAAACTTGTATCTTCTTAGAACTTAAAAATGAAAATGTCCTGATTTCTCTGAAAAAAAAGTGTTTTTAATTTTTTGTTTTCTATGAAACATGAAACCATTATTTGATTTTTCTAATTTAACATAATTTAATTGTAACCATAGTCCCAATTTCTCTGACCATTTATTAAATCTCCATAACAAAATAAAGTAATTGATGGTATCACAGAATCATGACATGAAGCAGCCCTTCCTGCTCATATTCAGTCACTGAATATTTCTTGGGAACAAAGATCTTTATGAAGGACTGGTTTTAGAGACTGAGCAGGTTTCTCTGAAAGGGGACTGCCAGTACATCTTAGGAGTTCGGAGAGGTTCTGCAAGCCAACAGTGACAGATCACAGAAAAGCACACTACTAGTGAATGTTATTCTAGCTCAGGACTATAGTTTGTTGCTTGGGGGTTGGCATTAATCACAGTTGGTGTCAGAGTGGAATTTGTGCATACGCTGGTGGTCTGTCAAGCCTTCTGTCCAATTTATACTTCCCTTTCGCCCAAAGTTTGTGCTTGAGTGAACTAAGAAGGATCGGGGGGTTAATGTGATGGAGCAAATGGAGGCTTAATTAAAGTTTCTTCCTTCGATTCAGTAAATTGGACACACCTGCCTTGATTGACTGATTAGACTCCTGTGGAAAGGAATGGAATTCCACAGGCAGAAAAGGGGGGGATCAGGTGATTGACCCTGTACTTACTTGGGACATTCCTCAGAAGTACCAGCAGGCACTATAACAGCACTCAGATACAGAGGGCAGGGGGCTGCGTCTAAGCTCCTGCAGTTCAGGGAGAATGTATTAGTTGTATCCTGAAGTGTAGTGAGATTAGATAGCACAGGAGTGTTTTAGCAGTCTTAGGTTCAGGTTTGAGAAGTTGGAAAGAACTAATGAAAACTTGCAATTATTTTGTCATGAGTTGAATGGTAAACAAAGATGGATCGACGGAGATAATTTCGTACTTTCTCTAGTGTGTACTGTATTTCTGGATTAGTTTGAATTCTCTGTGGCCTTTATATTGTAGTAGATTAGTAGTATTTATAGTAGCAACTGGACACCAGAGGGTTAGGCGTTCCAATAGGTCATGGAAGAGATGTGGAACATGTATGTTCTAGTATAGGGAAGACTGGCCATGGAAGAGTGAGCCCCATTGAGTATGCCAGGGATCCCAGAGTAGAGATGAGACAGTATTCTTCCAGGTAAAGGGAAGATTGGCCATGGATGGGAGAGCCAAGTTGAGTGTGCCAGGGAATCCATGGAATGAGAGTAAAGAGTTATATTTTATAAGGAAGAAGAGAAATGGAGAATTCAGTAGTTCGTCAGGAATTTGTCTGTTCCAGCTCTCTCAGTGGAATAGAGGACCAAAGAGTTGTTCCACGTGAGAAGAGGAGCTGAAGATCTTTTGTGGCTCGGAGGTTGACATTCATCATACACTGTAATAATTAATTTAATGCGGTGTATGAGTGAATACGTACAGGTTGTGCAGCAGACATTTCACTGCAGAAATGTTCCAACATGATCTGCAACAAGTAAGTTGTATTTGTCGGTAAACCTATATCAAAAGTGAGAGCAATAATTCTATTGGATTAAAAGAGATGTATTCAGAAGCCTGCTTGTTTACAATGTAATAGGGCTGTTTCACCTAACCGGAAGTTTGGTTGACTCTGAATTGCAGAATATGGTGCTGTGCTTACCTGGAAATGTTGTCTATTTTATTATGTTAATTGAAGGTTTTACAATAAAAATTCACTCATCAATGCAGATTATTTCAAAACCCAAAAACATCATTATAGTTTCTCTTTAAATGAGCTGTGAACATCAAAATCAAGTAAGATACATGGGGAGCAACAACATTTGTCCTGTAATGTAAAGAACATAATCCTATTATCAGGTCTGGGTATAACGGAGTGCGTGTTTCATTGCCTTGAAACATAAATTACCTTTATGTTATGGTAATGGTAATAACAAGCAAGGCCGACTCTGAGCATAGGGCCTAGACCCTGGGCAGGTGTCCCCCTGGCGGCAACTGCCAGAAGCTCCAAGGCCAGCAGGGGGCCTCCTCAATGCGCGACGCAATATATTTTTCTAATCGGGATGTTCAAAGGTGACCAAAAAATTCACTACATTTGCTGTATCTGTTGCTTCCATGAATAATCCTAATGGAAGCCGAGTCAAAAAATGACCAATCATAATCAAGTGCATAATGCTTCTGAAGCATAGAAAAGAAGAGCGAAATAAGCGCTCTTGTATGCATTCAGTGTGGGCCGTCTGCTTAAAAATCGGTGTTACCTGGCCAAACAAAAACATAAAAGCAAATGTACAGTACAAAAGACAGTTCAGCGGTTTTAAATAATCAACATAAAATGCATTGTTTTTTTGTGGTTTCTCCTGTATTTTATTTAAAGGAGGTATTGTGAGCTCAACCTGTAGCCCTTTCGATTGCAGTTGCTAAAGAAGTGCAGAAAGGAGCTTTTCGAAGCTCAAGTTATTTAAAATGTGCGCAAGGGCAAAAAATAAAGGCAAATTTATTTATAGAGTGCTTTTTTATAAAACTAACCCATCTGTTCAACCTTACTGATCTCACCTCTCTTGTTGTTGAGTGCACTTGTTTTTTTTTTATTTCTTACATATTTATTCCTACAGTTCCTCTCTACAAAGGTTTCAGTGCAGTACTTTGTATGTTATTATTTGGTCCTGTTTATTATTATTTATTGTTACTAATAATTGTATTTTTATTTATTACTTTCAATGTTAAAATTGTTATCTTTGTAAAATTTGAGCTTGTGTTCTTTGTCATAAGTTATTTGTTATGTGTTCTTAAAAGCTGCTTTATAAAAGTTTTCTAGATATAGAATTAATTTATTTAATTTTTCCAGATAGTAAAATAAATTTGGGGTGGTAGCTGAAAGTAGAGTATGCACAAATTGTTATCTGGACGGACCCGTTTCCAAGATCTTGCTTTATTTGACTTATTTTCTATTGCAGTTTTCCTTGATGGCATCATTCCCAGAGAACCCTCTTGGGATTTTGCTGTTTTGTGGTTGTGCTATAGTGATTGGTTTGATACAGGTAAGACAGTTTTCGTATCTTTGTTATCTTTGTCATTTTTGTTATTTGATACTATGAACCAGACAAAACACATAAGAGACCATAAGTGTTCTTAGTACTTTTTGCATCCTTTTAAGACAATTTACCATTATATGTGCACAAGCTTTTATAAACCTATTCTTTTTTTTCCCATAAATTAAATTATTCAGTAATGTACAACTGTGCATAATGATAATGTACAACTGCCTATGGTACCATAGAAGAAACATACAGATGAAGCCATTTAAAATGTGCAAGGTGTCAGGTGGCAGTAAAACTGCCAGGTGTCGCAGTGAATCCTTAAAGGTTTACAGCTGCCCATGGTTGTCAGATCTTATTTTAAAATCAAATCTTATTTTAATAATAAAAATTTAATGTTTATTAACCAACCCATTTGTGCTTACGGCACTATTCATACTGTACAGTATGCAAACTGTACTACCGACAACCAATTTAATTTGATTTCGCCCAGCCCAGGATAAGTTAAGGTACGTCACAATACTGTATAACACCTAACAGAATTAGTTTTAAATTGCGTTCCAAGTTTCCTTACCGTATATTTCACTCTGGTACCCTCTTTTGACTTCTAAAGATCAGGCTCTTTCCAACAGCAACTCCACTTACAATCCTCGCTCTCACAATGCTTCCACCATGATGGTTTCCACCAAGATGTCTCCTTCCGGGGATTACTTATCCGGTTGCTGACATCAGTCACCTGCCTCTCATTAGGTAATTGGGGGTTAGGGCGTTTCCTTTGGCAGTCATCTGATGTAGACTAGAGGCCATTTTACCAGCATCTAGGCTTATATAAAAAATTTTCAGGATGTTTTTTGAAAAATATCTGTCATCAGTGACCCGGCCCTGGATGATCTTACAGCATAGTCATTAGAAAACAGATTACTTTAGATTTTTATTATTAAAAATATATTTAGTGGCATTAAAAAAACATTATATTTTAAAGCAAATAAACAAATTTAAAAAGAGAGCAAGAGGGCAGTAGTGATTTGAATGACTTTCAAAAAATGACTGTACTGTTGTGTACTGTAAATTGCATTGTAGCTGATACAACTCCAATCAGTGTAGCAGTTCAGTGGTACCATACAAGAAGCCTAGGTTCAATTCCCGGCCAATGTGCAAATTGTTTCTTGGGGATAATAAAGACTTTCTCTAATGATAACGTATAACACATAATATGTATACCATATTGACATTTCTTTTAATTTTATATATCAAAGTATGTACATTATTGAATGAATAGTAGCAATTATATGGATGAACATGTGTAGAGTAGAGCTAATGTAGCAAATATCAACTGTAAGCAAACAACTGTTGACACCCTGGGGCTGTTTGACAAAGCAAGATTAGTTAGCCAATTATACAAAATATTTTGTCTGTTGTTAACACAATGTGTTTTTTTTAGTTTTACATACACATTCAAATAATTTATATTTTGTCATAATACAAGTTTAAGTAACAGTGTTACTAACAAATTATCTCATGAATATAT